GCCTTTGTTTGTTCGCGAAGGAGTGTAGGCCGGCTCCGTTGATGAAACGTGGCTCCCATCCACATGCCACCCGGTCTTGTTCCTTCGGGTTTACACTGGATATGGGGTGTGTGGATAGAAATGCGGGTGGTGCAGCGCAAGCCAACCACTGTCCCTCTGTAGGCGCATGAATCCTACGGCTGGCCACAGTGACATGCAAACCCGAAACCGCCAACCATGTATGTGTGCTTAGCTGTGTTTATGGATATTGTAAATGTTTTCCTGCCATTTTGATCATGCTTGAAGTTGTCACCATTGCTAAATGGATGCTTGATATCTATGGACTTAAAGCGGCTGTCCGGATATAAGCAATGGGTGACTTTACTTGGATGGCTCTGGACAGCCACCTATCACAAGTGTCCGCCGTTTGATCTCTAGCGCCTTTGTACACATCTGTCCCGTTACACACCGCCCCTCATAGCAACTATCCGTTAATGCAATGCATTATCGGCCACAATGCATTGTACAGCGATCGTGTTATTGCAAAGGGTTCTATGGTCAAAAAAGCGCCAGCCTGTGACCTCGTTTTTTTGTGACTTGCGTTTGCAGACCTGATTATTTGTACTCCCATTGGGTGCAATGCGAAGAATCGGCTGTTCACATGTCGAGCGGTTATTGTAAGTCTGATCTCACCATGCCCAAACGGCAGCATGGAAGTAAACCGGTTGGTTTTTATTGCCTACCATACATTTGTATTTTGTTTCCTTGGCATTAAGCTCATAGCTAGGCCCGTTTTCTCCTCTCCACATCCGACTCGTGTAACTCCAACTAGCTTTAACAGGGTCCATAGTAACCGGAAAGGGAAAGTACAGCATTAAGGAAAATCCATTATTGCAGTAATTAAGCGATTAACTTCGATCATGCGTTGATTTCGAAGATTCTGGAACCTCGCACTCCTTCACGTGACCGCTAACATACTGAGCGCTGGCAATAAGGTTATCAAATTTAACAAGTGACCTTCGTTTCCTTTAGGAAATTCATTAAGCGACCTATAAATTTGACCAAGTCCGCAGTGTGGTACAGCACTTTGACGGCGTTTGCTAGCATCGTATTCACAGTAAAAGTTGTTGAACTTTTAATTTTTCTTCGGCTGGGCTAGAAGTTTGTGATGTTAAATACAGAACAGCGAGAAATTTGGAAACTTAAAAAGTGATAAATTTTTCGCTGGACAACTGCAAAAGCTGACTCTTCAGCAAAATTCCAGATGGAAACAAAGATGAAACTGGTCGAGAGTTGGACATAATGCTTGGATTTACAGTCAAACGGAACAGTTACTCGACACACGCAGGCTAGTTCCCTTGATCTTCCTACAAATTGCATCACTGAATCTCAGTAGGATGCTGTTTCAGAATGCACTTTCGAGGCGTAGTTCAAACGCTGGGAAGACAGGTTCTGCAAGGATTTCAGCCGACAGGATGATTCATGGACATCGTGACTTCTGCTCTGCAGGCTCGGTATCCAAGTACATTCAAGATTCATCGACCACGTCTTCCCAAGGAGCAGAAGGATATGAGCAGCAGAGAATTGGCACGACTCAGAAATAATTCGCGAGTTAGCGTCTTCGTTTAGCATACGTTATCAGTCTAGGAAGTGTTAAGCGGGATACAGACGATTGTGGGGCTACAGGATACGCATGGTTAACCGTGAGCGCGGACGTTTCGAGTTACGCTGTTTGACGGTGCATGACAGTGATTCAAGACCAGGTCGCCGATTCATCACCGTGCTCATCAACGGGATCACGACAAGGTTGCAGTTCAATACGGCCTCAGACACAAAAATAATTTCCAAGAAAACTTGGAATCACAAGAGGCCGAAGAGGATTGAATCCAATAAAGTCGCCTAAAATGCATCCGGTGGATTGCTGGGGATGGTCGTAGAAATAACCTACAAAGTGCTTTCAACGAAGTGGAAGAGAATTGGAAACGGTTACTTGTCGGATCCAACAAACTTGAAGCTCCTTGGGATTGAATGAATGGAAGAGCTACAACTGTTGAATATTAAAATGACACATTTCTTACCGAGTTCGAACCGATAAAGTCCTTAAATCACTGTCGATTGGAGACATGACGAGAATTCCTAAACCGAAAGTTACTTTCCTGTTTGAAGACAGCCTCCGTCAGTACACGAAGTTCAAAACCAAGTTATACCTTCGCGAAGGAGACAGCCCAGTCTTCATTGCAAAAAGACCGGTACCGTATACAATAATGGCAATGGTCGAGCAGGAGCTCGACCGACTGGAGCGCGCCGGTGTTATCAAACCAGTGAACAAAACTTCATGGGCGGCGCCAGTTGTTACTATGAGAAAAGCGAACGGCAAAGTGCGCGTCTCCGGAGATTATTCAACTGGCATGAATGCCGCACTGGACGACTACCAGAACCCCTTTTCGACACCAGAGAAAATTTTTTCCAAGCTGAATGATAAGAAGTGTTTCGCTAAGCACGGCTTGTCCGATGCTTACCTCCAGGTCGGTGAAGATTGAGCCTTGAGAGAACTGTTAATCATCGACAGTAATCGCGGGAGAATAAGAAGACTGCTACCCTCTACAGGATTATCCTATGCGAGGGCCAAAACAGCAAGAAATTGTTTGAGGATACATTCATATTGTGTAAGCATGATACTGCCATGTTGTTCAGGCCTAGACAGGAGAACGATTAGGGTTCTTAAGCAAAGCCTGTGGTTCAAAAACCTTGCTGCAAGGCAGTGAGATTTTGGTCGTGGACTAGAGAGTCCGTTTTTCTGGAGCAAGGAGCCCTATTTTCCAAACCCCAACCTGGAGGTCCAGGAGACTGAGTTTGTCTGGCTTCTAATCATTCACTAATAAGGCAAAAGTGGCTCTGAAGGTGCAGGAAGCATCATCCAGTATAGCTTAATGGATCCCTGACACACGCAGATCATCGCACCACGGTAAAGTCCAGCAACATGGCGACGGATTATTCCCTATCGCGCCATAGTAAGTGCCAAGGCAACGATAACAGAAATAAGTTTGTCAAGCGGTACAGCCCATCACGTGACCACTCCACGGTCCATTTTTAACCCAGTGGAATGGAAACGTGACCATTCCTACCCCCTACATATCACATACTTGGCATATGCGTCCTCCGTTTCTGCAATCTCTTCAGATGACACGCTTAGGTCAGTGTTAAGTCAACCGCAATGTAGACATAATACCTCGACCTTCTCAGTTCCACTAGATATGCCGGAAGTAACAAACATTGCCACAGCTAAAATGGTGTGTGGATTTTCATCGCCGCCGAGTGTGTCCGAAAGGAACACGGAAAGTCACTTGTTTCACAGCTGAATGAGTGTGGGGGACAGTGGCGTTATCACAGGGACAGGAACGTGGAGAGTTGAAAAGCAGTATGTACAAAATGACATTGACCACATTATGATGAAAGAAATAACGGTAGGTGAGCATCGGGCAGAAAAAAACGCTTAATTTGAGAGCGCATGTGTCAATGACTTACCTTTGCAATATGCACGGCCATCACTCTCAACGGATTTGGTTCTCAGTGGACATACGGAAGAGCTGAGGGCTAGCACAGATGATTAAGCACCCACTTAGCTAAATAGTGATGCTTCAAATTTCACGTAATAAGAAAAATCAGTACGACGGTTGATGTGGGGCAGGCGAGGACAATCTCTTCAGTTGAGGTACGCGGAGACGGGTAAAAGTGTTATTACAGGCCAAATGTTTATTCCCAATTTATATACGAAATCAAGATGAGAAACCTCAACAAGAGTAATGTCAGCCATAAGTGTTAGGAAAATTTTCTAACACACCGATTCTCAAAGTTCTCATCATGAAACAGCTGATTCAAAGCTAGTATGCAAATACTGCGTCGGCCGACATCAACTGCGCGATGTATCATCCAGCATTTCGAGCCATCTGTATTCCAACGTCCCTTGGTCTCCAGCTCGGAGGGTAAGTGGAACCAAAGACGGTTAAATATGAAGGGAAGGTTGACCATCAATAAATATCGATGACGCGCACTATCCATGCAAATTGGTCATGACTCGCTTCGATAAAGCAACATCGCTCGAAATGATGCGCTATAGGCCGAATTCCGCCGAGAGAAAATATAAGCAGTTTTGGTGACAGCCATGAGCTCAAAGACTAACTCAGGTATGCGAGTCGGTACTGGTGAAGCTACTGTGATGTGCACTCCTGTATGTTCGAATCAATAGCCTTTGCATCAATGGCGTATGACTGCGAAGCAGTCGTGATCCACGTTTGCATAACTGACATCAGTAACTTTTAGAACTTCCGCTAAGCACAGAAGGCGTGGATGAAGTCATGAGTGAAGAACTGCAAGCAACCCATGACTCCTGCGTAGACAGAAGTGCTCTGTGGCTGTTCACGCGGTCACGGTGACAGGTAAATCCGGAAACGAATGACACCTGGTAATAAGAGGTTCCGGCTCTTTAACACAGAATTCATAAGGACCAGAGCTACACGAAAATTGTGCTTCAATAAACGTGGGTAAACGTTCATTGTTACATCCAACCGTTTGCGTGCTTGTCTACTGACCTCAGTTAGAGACAACCGGAATGAGGGACGAAATGAAAAAAAGTGGGAGTTGTCGGCAGATGTGTTTGCCACTCCATAATCGATTGTTATGAGAGACACCAGTGTCACAAGGTGTACAAACAATCGTTGTAGTTTGAAGTGACAGCTGTGTGGAAGGAGAGACAAAAGAAATTGCAAATGGACTGTGAATTTCTTAGAACGCACCGGGAATGTGTTTGAAGTTAAGCACTTCGTTAATGGAGAGGCGGACACACGTAGAAACTAGTTTGGAAGATGAAACATACCGCGGAATAACGTGACTTTAAAAACCATGAAAAAAGGCGTATTAAGAGCAGCATGTTTGATGAAACCGAAGTCATTTGATATCGCCAACGATGGTGCAACGTAAGCACGAAAGTTAAACTGCAATGATGTTAGCAAGTGAACACTTACTCGAATGAATAGATTTGATGTGCCTCTGCATACCGCACCTTCCGGCAAATGATCGACCACACTGTTCGCACGTATATGGGCGTTGCGCTGCATCAAAGAACAGAAAGTGAATAGTTACCAGTGTCAAAAGGTCGAAAAACCGAATGGTGATGATGATGATGATAATACAGCTAAGCTTTAGTCACGAATAATGAACCATAGGATTCCACATGTGAAATAGTGCTAAAGTCACCCCGGAAAAAAACGAATAGTGTGGAGACAGTGTGTCATCTATCGGCAGTAACTGTCTCGTTCTAATACAATGCATCGTGACACATATTTATCAATTAACTATGATGAGGACGAAAGGTACCCCAACAGGACAATACCGACAGTCAGTGGAAAATGTAACCATCGCAGTCGTGCGGACGAAACACAACCTGATGAGACCGATTGAAGATTCCGCTCCTCTCATATCTGATGAACCACTTTGTTCGTCTCTCACACTCGGCTGTGATGGGAGTGTCATACCAGAGTGAACGGTGTCAAAAAAGACAAAGACGAACCCCACCGGCGTCGCTCGGATCACCAGTGTCTATTCAGATGCCTGCCCCAGTGAACATGGAGAAACGGAAGTTGGCGAGTAGCTGGCGTCTATGGAGAAGCAAGTGGCTGGATTTCTGCACATCAGTATGTTTGGATGAACAAGAGATGGTGTATCGCTTGATCAGGTTTCGACACGCAGCCGGGGATGACGCGCGTCGTGTTTTAGAGACATTGCACTATGACAAAGATCACAAGAATTTGGAGTCGGTCGTTGAAAAATACAGTGAATTTTGTGAAGGTCAAGCCAACGAGACCTACCAGTGCCACCTTTTCTCCTCGCGTATCAGAGGCGCAAACGAATGCGTCGCTGAATTGAAAATTTTAGCCCGATTCTGCAATTTCTGTAAATGCATTGGCGACAGTCTCACACGCGATCGGATCATTATGGAAATCAATGATGAAAGTACGACAAAGCGGCGTTTGCGACAACGCAACCTTCCGCTCCAGCAGTGCATCGATATCTGCAACAATGAGTCCTCGATCACCTATCAATACAAACAAATGAAACTCGCAACTGATGCAGAATTGTGTGCCGTTTCCGGAGGCGAAACGTCAAAGAATATTAACGATAGACAGGATATTTGCAGATTTTGCGCTGCGCGACACCCGAGCTATCGTGAACAGTGTCTGGCGTGGAAACGGAAACACGCAAAATGTGGAAAAGGGAACCACTTTGCTCGTTGCTGCCAATCAATCAATGTGAGTGTGTTTGATCGTGACTAGTTCACCGCAGATTCGGAACATTCAACTGGCAACGTGTCTCGGAAAGTACCGCAAAAATGTGTCTACGCAAGTCTTTTGATCGGAGGCAAAGCCGTACGATTCCAGTTAGACACGGGAGCTACTGTCAACATTCTACCAAGGAAGCACTGTCCCGGAACGTGTATTTGATCGGATCAAGACTGCCTGTGTATGTGGGTGGAATGGTTCCAGATTTGTTCCGAACAGCTCGATTACAATCGATGTTATAAGCTCAAGGGACGAAGCCTCATATCGACTGGGGTTCGTGGTCGTGAAAAAGGAGCTCACGCCGATACTCGGCATTCATGAGACCCAGTCTCTCGGTTTTGTTCTTTTTAATCATGATTGTTTTGTGCATGTTTGCCATGAAGAAAACGATAGTAGTAATCAGTATCCGTCTGTGCTTAGCCCGGGAGTGGGAAAATTTGAGGGAACCGCTCACTTGTCGTTAGATACTTTGATATGACCGACAGCGCTACAGGATAGGAGAGTTCCATTTGTACTGTGTGACAGGTTCCGCACTGAGTTGAGCAAATTAGTGAGATAGGGTGTGATTGCCAAAGTTGACGAGACAACCAAATGGGTTAGTCAGGTCGCAATCATCACGAGAAGACGAGCAAACTGAGCGTGTTCATTGACCCGAAACCGCTAAATGAGGCCTTGTGTAGAGAGCACTATGCGCTACCTACCATAGAAAACTTATTGTCGCGCCTGGCCAGATCTGAATATTTCACGAAGGTAGACCCGCCTTCCGCATTCTGGCATGTGATTCTAGATGAAGTATCCAGTTTCCTGACTACATTTGCAACAATGTCAGAGCGTTATCGTTGGCTACGTTTACCATTCGGTTTGAAAGTTTCGAGTGGAATTTTCCAAAAACGATTTAGATGGTGTAACATGCGAGGCAGATGATGTTTTAATCTACGACACGACGAAACAGGAGCATGATGACAAGCTCCACCGTTACTTATAGCGTCTTGTACATCATCAAGATTAAACACGAGAAAATTGAGCCTCAGAAAGATTGGGCGATTTTCCATGGGTACGTGTTAATCCCCCAAAAGATCCGGGTCGATCCACGAAAAATCAAGGCAATATGAGAGGTGCCACACCTTAACAACGTGAAGGGAATCAATCGCTTAAACGGAATGGTGAATTATTTGAGCCGTTTTATACCTTGACTCGCTGATATCATGACGCCGATCAGGAAATTAGTTCACAAAGGAGTAAAGTGGAGTTAGGGAAAGGAACAGGAAACCGCGTTTGCAACTATTAAGCACCTCAGCAGCAACGCGCCAGTACTCGGATATTACGATCCAGCGCAGCCTTTGGAGGTACAGTGTGACAGTAGGCAAGATGGAATAGGTGCTGATCTCTTAAAGAATGGAAAACCTTTGGATTTCCGCAGTCGAGCACTCACCGTGACCGAGCAGCGCTATGCGCAGATTGAGGAGACGCTCGCAGTAGTCTATGCCAGGGAACGTTTCAACGATTATACTATCGGAAGAAAGATAAGTGTGTATACCGACCACAAACCGCTTGTGTCGACAGCCAGCAAACCGTTGCACATCGTTTCTTGTCGTCTTCAACGTGTGCTTATCAGGCTACCAAAGTACGGCGTGAATACTGTGTACACGCCTAGTGCACAGATGTTCATCGCGGACACGCTGTCAAGAGTTCATCTACCGGTGCTTTAGTATAATCCAGAAGAGGTCGAGGCAGTAAACCTAGTACAACACCTGGCAGTGACGGAAGATCGTCTGAGTGAAATAAGGCGCCACATATAGGAAAATGCGACGTCTGCAGCTTTATGATAGGTTATTTTAAATGGTTGGCCAGAAACAAAGAAGCAGATGCCGAAGGAACTAACACCCTACTTCAATTTTCGGGAGGAACTCTCTGTTTATGATGGTTTTCTGTTCAAGGGAAGCCGTATTGATTCCGTTACTGCTCCGAGAAGAAATGTTGAAATATCTACATCGCGCTCATCTGGGTGCCAAGTAAACAAATAACCGAGCAAGAGTTCTGATCTTTTGGGCAGGAATGTTGGGTCAACTAAAAGATCACGTATCGAATTGTGAACCGTGCTGTTCACACGAAATCCGGCAGACAAGGAAACCAACGCTGTTGCATGAAGTCCCGGATCGACCGTGGCAGAAGGTGGCAGTGGATTTATCCTGTGACAACGAGAAAAATTACCTACTCACAGTGGATTACTATAGTGATTAGTTTGAAATCGATTTACTCACCACTACGATCACAGAAGCAGTAACCACCAAGCTCAGATGTCAATTCGTGCAGTACGGAATGCCAGAATGCTGGTCTTTGACAATGGTCCTCAGTTTATTAGAGTTACACGAAAATGTTGAAAATCAGCATGGGCTGGAACATTTGGCGAAGACAAGCCACAGTGGCTTCCTTGACGCTGCATCAGTCTACGCTGTAAGACCCCATCTGAAGGAGCAAACGGAACTCGCATGCTTGGACGAGTAATCCAGCAGCAAACCGAACAGTACAATGAGAACTGTGCGACCGTTTGTGCATTGATATTATCAAAAGCATATGACAGTGTCTACGGTGGTTGTACAATGCAAACGATAACAACAACTTATAAAAGAGTCGCCAGTTGCACACTCACCCAAATGAACAGCTCTGAGATGCATTCGAAGATAGGTGAGGTGACCAAACGATTTACCACACCGTTCACATGTGTGGGGACGTTCTTCTGATTGGGGGGAAGAAAGTGAGCGATCGCAAATAAAACAGACAATGTCAGCAGGCGCACATAATGAATAATGCGATAGCAGAAGTGCATACAGGTTGTAGTACGCCAAAAGGCTTAATAGCGACCAACAGATTCGGAGAATCGTCCAGCAAAAATGCCCACCAGTAGCCGATTAACTAGTAACACGTGGGAGTCAGGTGAGAAATAGCGTGTGTAGCAACTGCCAGTAACGACTCCATTCCAACACCGTTTACGACAAAGTGTCTGACGGCAAGATAACAATATATAATGTTTGAGATAAAAAGCGAACATTCTGAATTTGACAATCTCCGCCATCTCTAGTATCAACGTGACCGGAAGCTCTCCTTGAAGCACCGAGTCTACAATACCGCGATAACAGCCATTCTCCTCTATAGTTGCCATACTTGGCATGTCTGGGTAAAGGAAATTCAGAGGCTGTTTGTTTTCGACCAGCACTGCCTTCGGAGCATTGACAGTGTACGGTGGAAACATCACATTAGAAATGCGAAGGTTCGTCAAAGTATTTTCAGATAAGGCAGCCTTTACCGGCCGCTGAGTAGCACAAGCCTCAGTAGTTTGCGCACGTACTTAGCATGCCCACCGAGCGTTTACCTAGCCGTGCACTCCGTGCCCGTGCAGTATTCGACTGGAAGCGGAGAAAAGGAAGCCAACGAATGATATGCACCATAATTACGAAGGTAATGACTACAAATTTGGCCACGGTCGGGCACTGTCAATTCTCTGTGGCTAGGGGCGCAAGGATCCCGAGCACATAGGATTTAAAAACCCCTCGGAGATGCCAGGAGCAGTGGCACATGGGGGAACATGTTGTGAGACTCTAAACAAGAAGCCACAACATTTTTACACCTTTTACTTTCTCTCGTATCAATACAATTCATACGATGCAACCCTCTGTTTATTGTACTATGGATAAAGCGCTGGATAAAGATATATATATATATATATAATATATATATATATATATATATATATATTACTAGGTGTAAACGGCGGCAATCAGTTGTGGGCACGATCCGTGGAGCAACTGCGCAGACAGTACACCATCGTAGTTGCGTCCAGTGACAGAGTTCAACAAGTTGCATAGTGCGTCTCTAGGGTCGATTCCAAAACGCCTATTTCATTGTTCATTCATCGTATCATTTCACCCAGCTTTCAGCGTGCGGTAGTATTGCGAAAACAATATAGTGGGGAAGAGTAATAAACAATTATTCTCTATCCTCCAAATATGAACAACACATGCGCAGCAGTCAGCAAGCAGACAGATCAAACGGTGCCTGACTCGTGACATAATGCAACGTATGAGCTTATCTAAGTGATCTTGGGAAGTGCTATCGACTGTACCAAAGAAACCGTAGTCGTAAGACATCCATCGTGTTGTCCAAGCGAATAGCTCACTCAACAGCTCGTCAGTTGCAAGAAAACCTACGGATAAAACCAGATGTAATACGTCTCAACATTATCAACGTACACAGTGGCTAAGGAGGCGAAACACATCAGCCACTGTGCCGCAATACAATACAACTAGATCTCCGCAAAAATACACCTTTGGTTTTTACTATGCATCACAAATGAGATGACGGTTGAAGGGAAACGACAGAGAAACAACACAAACGCTACTGACATTGGCTCTTGAACATCTTAATAAGTGTCTCCAATCTAATGAGTTCACCGTCTTTCGGAGACCGATCCGGGAACACACAGGTTATAAGCGAGGTTAACTTAGAAGTAGGGGGCATCGTTACTCACATCAGCCGGTCTTTTACCTCTTCTTACATTCAGATTACGTTCCAGAAAACGCCGCACTTCGCAGAATTCCGTGTGCTGGGATGCGTAGCACATGACACTCCCACAAGAGCCAGGTGCGTGAAGTAACGGAGCTAAGTGATTCACTTGCTGTTCCAGCGCAGAGCAAGGTTTCATGAAGTGCCGCTCGTGCATCACCAACTTGCTGTCGATGCGGCACAGATGGTTGCATGCGTTGAACCGGAGGAAACCAGTAGACGTTATCTACGTTGATTTCAGTAAAGCTCCCGGTAAAGTGACGCATGTGGTCCTTCTCCACAAACTGAGGATGTGTGGCGTTGGTGGCGCACTGCAACAGTTGATCAGCGACTTCCACATTGGGAGAAAGGGGCGGGTACAGGTAGATTGTTACCTAACGTAATGGTACCCCTCCACTAGTGGCGTAACCCGGTGCTCCTTTTGCTCCTGTTACACATCAAGGAAGTACCGCAGCTTCTTCGGTCGCCCAGCGCATTGCTTGCAGATGACCAGAAGATTTGGAGGAGTATAGATATGCTCGACGACCGTGAATTCCATCAGCAGGACCTCGACCGCCTATCCCGGTGGTCTGTAGAACTTGATCTGTCGGTCGACCCGGTCAATTCGTCATTTATGAGTCTGGGACGTAGGTACACCCGGGCTGGCCAACCGCTGAATCCCACAAGCTCGGTAAATGATATACGCATACTCACACAGTGATCTGGTCCATTGACAACACAAACAGACTGTAAGGAAACGGACTACACCTGCTTTGGGCACTTAGACACAGCTTCTGTACTTGGTCTGGAGAGATTGCCACTCGCCTGTTTTCTTCCATGATAAGACCGGAGCTTGAATACGGCTCACCCACCTATGGTCCGAACACAATAGCTGAGGTGCACAGATTAGAACGGGTTCAGAATGTAGCTATCCGGCTCACGCCCAGCTTACGGAGTGTCGTACGAGGACCGATGTAGGAGAATAGGGTTGTATACCCGGTCATATCGTCGGATTTGGGTTGATCTCATAATGACGCACCAGATATTGCATCTGGGTCACTTCCCCATGCTGAGGCCACTGCTGCACGTTGGCGCATCAAGCAGCACATACGAACATCGGTATAGAATAGTGGTACTGGATTTAAAACACATCGCTCACCCTCTATGCATCGAGGGTCGAGTGGAGAAATACTGGAACAAGTTTCCATAGAAAGTAGTCGAGGCGAAATCAGTTTCGGAATTTAAGAGATTCCTCAACGCTCACTTTGCGGATTACAGGGAGCGTATCGCACCCGGATAAGATGCAGTGCAGCTGTAATATGCTGCCAACGCTCAGGACCAGTGACGTGATGTCGCGCAGGTGCCCGATCTAACTACGATAAAGAAACACAGATCTATACCTTCGCACTCTGGAGGTGTTTCGGTGTTGCCCTACCCAACAACGACACACTTCGCACTCTCTAATTTCAGTATTTAGCCATGTGAGTATCTAGCAGTAAACGGAAATCCCAGCGATGACGTGCGCAGGCACACGTAAGGGAATTTCAGTAAGAAATGCAAATATCTGCAAGGTTACGTGCCATAGCATCAACTACCACCCACCGTGATCACGCAGGTCCCTAAGCCCAGGAGGTGCTACATGTATACACCCTAGCATGCGTGCAGCTTCAGTGGAACCAGTCGTGTCTGAATACGAGCGTCGTGCGCGACTGCGCACCCCATCAAATCACACACCATCTGCGTCAAAGGTGGGTCCAAGCGTTCTCTGGTAACCCATGTCGTAAACTCGTCTGGTATGCTACTATTTGATTTGGGATTGGTCACTCAACGAGTGACGTGCGCTTCGGGTCGTTCGTGCCCGTAGGATGATATGTGATTAAGGAGTATCCTGAAAGATTTATGAATGAACCCGAATTCCTTAAGAAGGAATTTAAAAGCGTTATGAATGCATTTAACGGAGAAAAGGCACAGTGGCACTTACAATTGACTAAGGAACGTGCAATCAACAATCCTGATGACTATAAACCTACGGTTGATGTTCCTTCTCGTTCCCATGTTCCTGTTACTGACTGCTTAGCTGCCGGTGAGATACGTAGCCGGAAGCTAGAATCAATGTTTATGAAGGCGAAGTTGAAGGGTAACAATAGTCAAATTCTAACCCCAGACAAGTTAGATGGACAGGCGAATTTGATTTTTGTCGAGGATTAAGGCGCTAGCGATAACCTGGTGGCTTCACTTAAAAAGAATGAAGTAACTGCAAACGCACATGATGAGTCGGCTTGCTCTCAGTGGGTGCACCTGTTGTCCTCTGGCGCGGTGTCTTAGTACACGGACAATCAGCACACTTCAGCTCGGCAAGTCAACACACGTCACGTGGTTGGATACATTAGTGGGCTTCCGAAACGAGAGGCTGTCCGATCTGGTGGTGACCCAAGGAAGTACTGGCCTTCCGTACGCAGTTTCCAATGTATAGTTATGTGCATAACCGATGTACCTGAAGTGCTGTTATGGTACTTGATGTACTACTGTGCAGGAAATGCTAGAGAAGTGATTGAGAGCTGTTCCATACTACAATCAGAAGTGAGTTTCAGAGATGCTCTGGATATGCTTAGGATTGGATTTAGCCGCCCACATCTTACTGTCCCTGCTCATATCAACCGATTGTTAAAAGGACAGAATGTAAAAAATGATGTGGGTGCCCTTAACAAGTTAGGTGGTAAGAGGAAGGCGTGTATCAATGTAACTCAACTACGAAGTGGATTTGAACGCCATAGTGAAAACTTCTGCTGTTGTTAAGCGGCTATCATATGCGGTGCAGGACGAATGGTTTAAGAGAGCAACAGCTGTAGTACGTGCCGCCAGAGAACCAACTTTCAAAGATCTATACCGATTCGTGATTGATTCTGCAGAAATAGCGGCTAACCAATCTATGTACTCTGGGGAGAATTTCCAGAAGCACGAAGGTCCCTCAGAGTTAAAACGGCCGGAATGGCGTGAAGCCGGCACACTACAAATTGCGGTGGAGCCACGCCAAATCTTGTGTAATTTGGTCTAGCGACCATTATCTGGATCAGTGTCCACAGTTTCGATCTTTGGACGCCACTAAACGGGCCTCTGTGTAGTGTCCACCAATCACCTGTGTGATTGTTGCCTTAAGACCAACCACGTAGTTTTGACTGTAGATCAAGGGCCATGTGT